GAGACGTTACCCGGTGCGGGATGCGACAATTGGTAGATATTTCCACCTCACTCCATGGAAAGTAAAGGGAGTGAGGCGCCGCACCAGGTAGTCGGGGGAGGTGAGCAGTGGTGTAAAGTCCGAACACTCCCCTGAGCAGCGGTGTAGGGTCCAAACCTTTTCCCGAGCCGGGATAAATCGGCCTCCCTACCTCGTCATCTCGAGCCAATGACGACAACGACAACAACAACAACAACGACGACGACGACAAGACGGCATAATCTCGCTCAACAAGAAAAGGCCCAGGAAAAGGTCTATGTGGTGGCTGGTGAGAACGCCGCCATGTATCCTTAAGGTAGTGGACCTCGAACATGATGGACAATGGATGAGGACGATGAAAGGAGAAGGATGGATAGATATTGGAAGACACTTGAATAAAAAGTTGATTCCAGGGGGTCCCCATTTATAGGAAGGTTGGCAGCGTAACTGACGGCGTCATTATTATCTTTGAAAGACGTATCGGCAGGCGCATTTAATGCATCCTTGGGAGCCGAACCGGCAGTGACATTGTTGCTTTGAAGAATAAGAAACGGTAGTGCTATGAATAATTCTGGAAAGATGAACCGACGGGACGCTTCAGTCATCATGAAGGCTTGCATCATAAGTATGATGTCATCGCGGGAAAGTTAGAAGAGACAGTTATCAAGGTCGTTTCTAATCGTTCTACTCTAAGAAACGCGGGGACTATCTGTATACGGTAAAATCGAAAGGCCCGATTTTCGGCCATTACAACGCCTCTGGAGCGAGGTTTCCAAAGGCTCGAGGCCACAATCGAATCTTACCCCGAGGGAACATCAGTGTCCAACCTCGAGGCCACGCAAATCGATAGTTACGGTGAAACAGTGGGAATTTCCCTAGGCGCATGGCTAGGACTGACAAAATCTAGAGGTTTAGCTCTGACCCGTATCAGTGCATTGAGTGGCTATGCCTGCCCCATATCTTTGTAATTAATGCTTCTGTACTATGTTTTCCCTCAAATATAAAGGGGATCCTTGTCATTTTGTAGTTATTTGTTGCTCCATACTAAAATATACAAGAACACCTTCTCTCTCTCTAACACATTCTCTTGAGTTCATTACTTCATTCATTGCTTGCATTCGTTGCGTTCTATTTATTGTTCATTATTGGTCATAAAGAGCCATTGATCTTATTCAAACTGTTAGTTGCCCATCGCCTACCCCCAATAGCTCCCAGCCGAGCCTCAGACTCGACCCCGAGGTCCTCGAATAAGCAAGCTCGAGGCCCCAATTATTAACCATTCGGTTCGATTAACACCTTGCTCTCAAGCTCTAATCTTGTCTCTAAATCTTTCACATAGCATCAACTGCTTAACAAACGGCATAAAAATAGATCACGTATTTGTAGAATCTCATAATCAAATTTAATTGTTATTACCATTTTCACAATAAACAATATGTGTGTGTATCTATTTTAAAATATTACATTATCATACATGATCTAGGAGGGGACGCCCCTATCAGCAAAGACACTATATTATACTCAACCATATCAATATATTTAAGGAGAATGGGACACAAAGGCGGATCTAATATTTCATATCAGATTCAATTGATCCATTTACTAATGCTCGGCCAATATATACATACAGAAAAATATTTAAAAATATAAATGTCCAATAAATCTTTTTCAGGTAAAATTCATTAACTATAAATTAAAAATATAAAAGCGACAATCCCCTGTTCTGTCCTCGTCAACTTTGAACGTGCTTTGGCCATAGTTGTCCATACTCAATTGATCTGCAATTTGGTATTGGTTTTGGCACCAATCTGTATTAATATATTTTATACTCCAACAGAGGTCTTTATTTACAAGTTGTATCTGTATGTATTTAATGGGGTCGTTTTGGCTGTCAGCACTATTGGCATCCAAACTAGAGAAGTTCAATAAAAAAAAGTTACGAAAATAGAAATAAAAAGGAAGTTAAAAAGAAAGATAAATTTGTCTTTTTTCTTATAATTATGTCGTAAAAAAAAGGTTAGGACAACATGTACGAAACAGACATTGCCTATCTTTAACTTCCTTCTTTTTCTTTTTTGGGTATTCTTCCTCTCATAAATTTTGTCGACCTTACAAATTTCTTTTTCTAAACGTGAATATAATTTTACAGAAAGCAAATAGAAAAAACTCTTTTCAAATTCAAACACATTAGAGCATGAGTGCAAATAATGAGAAAGACGCTAGATGAATGTTGCAAGTTGCAACAGAGTAAACAGAGCTTATACTGTTAGTTGAACTTTAATTATGACTATTTGAATTAGGTTTATTTCGTTTTGTTATGATAATTGTACATTAAATGAGTGGGGTATAGGAAAATGCAATAATTTATTGGTGCTAGAACCTTGTCTGAATGGGCTCTCGTTTGGTGCGAGGGATAAGAAATAATTAATTGTACATTAGAGGTCGTTTGGTTGCCGGTTAGAGTTATGCAGGTATTAGTTATACATGTATTAGTTATGTAGGTATTAGTTATGCAGGGATAAGTAATGCAGGGATTAGTTATGCAGGTAAGTTATGCAGAGATTATTTTTTTGAATGTTTGGTTTGTTGTATTAGAAATTGATATACATTATATAAATTTTAAAGTAAAATGCTTGTTTACAACTATACCCCTGGCCTTCTTTTACATTGTTTTTTCTCTCTTTCCATTTATGTAGGAAACAATTTAGTTAGGAACTTTGGGTGTTACTTTCACTTCTTCGTCATACTACTGAACGATGTGAAGTTTAGGCATATTTGATTTTCACTTCTTAGTTTTGGTATTTCCATTTTCTAGTGGCTTCTTCAGTTTGCTTTTGCTAGTTTGTTCTTTAAAAATGAGAGAAGACAAGGTATATAGTTGGCAAGTGAAAGCAAGTGAAACCTGCTGACGGGTTGGCAGAGAAATAAGGAAGCCTTATGTGTAAAGTGATAGGGGTAAATTTGTCATTTCAGTATTTTATCCATGTATTACTAATACATGTATTAGTTATTCCATCTTCTACCCCGCATAAAATAATACAAAGATTGACTCATAACTTATACATGTATTATTTATGCATAATTAAAAAATGTCAACCAAACATGGTATTAGTTATGCAGAATTTTATACAAAATAACTATTGCCTACCAAACATGGTATAAGTTATGTTACCCCTTATACATGAATAACCTTTTTTCTAACCAGCTACCAAACGACCTCTAAATGAGTGGGATATAGGAAAATGCAATAACTTATTAGTGCTAGAACTCTGTCTATAAGGGCTCGTTGGTACGAGAGACAAGAATATTTAATTCCAAAATTAATTTTGAGATGCGTTTATCTCACGTTTGGTTGTGATAAAATCGTGGTATAACTAATTTTGAAATTAGTTATTCCGTGATTGTAGTATTTTTTTTAATCCCTATGGGAGGATGGATAACTAATCCCGGTATAACTAATTTTGAGATAATTAATTATGGGATAACTTGTTTCCCTATCAAACGACCCCTAAGAGTACCAAAAATTGGGTAAGCTTTTTGCTATTTTTTCCTTTATAACATTGGTGTCTTATCAGCTTGCACGCACTTTAACTATTCCACAAAAGATCAACTCTTTTTTATGACCTCGAATAACTATATCCATCAAAATATAGGTAGATGAGGAAAAGCATACTAAAGATGAGTAGTATTTTCTATTTTAAGTTTTTATATTTTGCATATATTTTATTGACCACTAGAACATACTATAAGAACCAATGTCAAAACATGATTTTTCATTTATCTTTCGGCCGTTCGGCGTGAGTCAAATTTTGATCAGTGAATATAAGGTAAGCATTAAAATTTCCCTATTAACCAGAAACTTCAAATAATTTTGTAAAGTGAATAGTTCAACTAATTAAAAACAGATAATCCATTAGATTGAAAAAAATCCGATTCTAATTCTAGACCCGGCCATAGACACGTGAAACACATAGGCAGAGTGAAGTTGGGGCGTAAGGGCTTTGCTGTCAGTTGCAAATTAAAGATCCTGGGTTTTCATCTTTTATGGAAAGCAGATTTGTCGGCCCACCTGATATTTTTCAAAAAGTATTTATTCATAATTAATGTTTGCAAAATAATTTGGTTTTTTAGTTCTTTAATTATGGAGCAAAGATGGTTTTACATTTTTTCATTAAAGACCAATTAGTGCAAATTGACACCATTTGACACATACGTGGGATGGTGCACAAAGAATCATTCTTAGGCTGCTATTTAGGAATTAGATAATATTTATTTTATTCTAAAAATTTGAACTAAAAATCTTATATTTAAGATAACTCAAGACATTTGTGTCCCGAAAATTGGAACCTGAAAGCTGAAATTTAAGAAACATTGGCTAATTCCTAAATAACAGCTATTTACAATGGCTACCTGGTGTAATTTTTACCACTAGGTGCGGAAAATATCATTCCACCCATTACATTTACGTGATGAATTTTGACTTGATATAAAATTTAAGAGAACAAAAGAATTTTAAAATTTATGGTTATAAATATGTCATGCTCAATATTTATGCGACAATAAAATTTTTAAATTTTATAGTCTTAAATATATTATAATATTTATGTGATTACAAAAAATTTCAGTAATAATAAAGTATAATTATTTCCATTTTCAAATATAAAAAATATTTATTTTTCGAACGAATTAATAAAAAAATAATGTTACATCAATTTGAATGAAAAAACGACACAAAAACAGATAATAGGACGAGATTTTGACCGAGACCTCTTTGTGGATCCCAGTTAATCACCCGGAAAAGATTGATATAATTATCGAGTAATTATTCCGAGGGAAACTTTGGCGCAATTGATAAATTGTTGTTATGTGACAAGGAACTCACGTGTTCGAGCCATGAAAGGCTGCATTTCGGGTCCCGCATATATTGTGTTCGATAAACTCTTTACGGTAAGCAGGGACCTTAGTGCACCGGAATGCCTTTAACAAGTAATTATCCTATTTTGGAAAATGATGGGTAGTCATGACGTCTGCATTTGAGGGGGGGAGGGGGTGCGATAGTAGTATATAAATCGAACGGAAACATGCGAAGGCTTCTCAACACACAACAACTCCACTCATCTTCTTTCTACCTTAGAGAATCACTCGGACGTCTCTCTCTCTCTCTCTTTCCGACCTTCTAGGATTTCGTCTTGAACATTCTCCTCGCCGGAGAACGAAAGAAACACCGGCGTCCGGTGATTGAAGGTTTACTTTTTTTATCTTGTTAATTTCTGTGCTCAAAGTTTACAGTTGAAACAATCGGAAATGGCTTCTCAACCGAAGAATGTCGGAATTCTCGCCATGGAGATTTACTTTCCTCCTACTTGCCTTCAGCAGGTAAAATTTTTGTATATCAAATTGTAAATACGTACATCTACATGCGTATAATATTAAATACTTCCAGATGTATATCTACGATTGTATTTTGGTGCTGTAATTTGGATGAGGGGAAATGAAAAGAGTGACGAAAGTCTACTATTTCGGAGAAAGCTTTTCGCTATGTAATAATCACAATTTAGACTCTCGAAATTCCTCTGTTATTGCGTATTGTTATTGTACTTTAAAATTGAGTATTGTTACCTTAGTGTTGTTATAAAGAGAAAGTCAATAATTGCTCCGGACGTTAGGAACCATTTTGGTTTAGATCTAACGATTAATGAATCTAAGATCATAGATTTTAATTTATTGTACTTGCATGTCACATGTATTATGACATAATGTGATATTCAAATTGACTTTTTAGTTTTGAAGGAATAGATCTGCTAATAGAACTTTCCGACATTAGGATTGTGATTTTTTGAAATTTTAATTTATGTAAAATTGCAATGTATAGGAAGTATTGGAGGCTCATGATGGAGCAAGCAAAGGCAAGTATACAATTGGTCTTGGACAAGATTGCATGGGCTTTTGCACTGAGGTTGAAGATGTTATATCGATGAGGTACACGGCTAACTTTTGTAGCTGCAAAAACGACTACTCCCTCCGTCACAATTTATGTGTTGTTTGATTAGGTGTGGAGTTCAAGAAAAAAGAAAGACTTTTGAAACTATTAGTCTAAAACAAGTCATAAACATTTGGGTGGAATCATCTCATCTAGGGTAAAATAGGAAGTTTAAAGTTAAATCATTTTTAAATATAAAAAAGTTTCATTCTTTTGGGGACAAACTAAAAAGGAAAAAGTATCACATAAATTGGGACATAGGGAGTACAACTATACCTACCAATTCCAAACTAGTGGGGATCGGATAAGTGAATTCTATATAATTGTTGTGCTTCATTTGGTCCGATTTCATTTCATTACTTAAATATTTGTGTTTTAGCACAAGTTAGGAATTGGAACTAACTTTATTAGCTAATCATGCAAAAGTGATACTCCTATGTTTGCTTCTGTTCTCATTAAATTTTTCATCTTTAGCTTGACAGCTGTTACTTCCCTTCTGGAGAAGTATGCTATTGATCCAAAGCAAATTGGTCGGCTAGAGGTTGGAAGTGAAACTGTTATTGACAAGAGCAAATCCATCAAGACATTTTTAATGCAAATATTTGAGGTACTGGCTATTGCTTCTTGGCAATGTTGAGTAGTAAAATAGTCTATTATGGTTTGTTCAAATGTGTGGCCAAGTGAGACTTAACTGCTAAGCCTTTGAGTCATGTACTGCTGATTAGCTCAAAATAGAATATTTGTTGCAGCCGAAGTTTTTTTCTTATAAAAAAAATATTTGTTGCAGCCAAGTATTATAAAAGATGTGAAATGTTTAACACTTTAAGTCACTTATTGTGCATTAAGTATGTCCTAGTTTCATCTTGGGCCTCAAATTTAGCTGATCCTTTGTTACCCTTTTATATTGTCACCAAGTGAAAAACATAAGTAACTCCTCCAAAATGAGATTACTATTTGCTGTCATATTTATCCTTGGATAATAAAATGTTCATTGTACTATTTTTGCTTGTTTGTCTTTATTGACTTTCCTCTTCACTGCTAAAGCTTTACCTTATGCGTATAACATACGGTGATCATAAAACTTATCCTGGTTCTGCACCATTTTAAACAAACAGAAACATGGGAATACTGACATTGAAGGAGTTGACTCAACTAATGCCTGCTATGGGGGAACTGCTGCATTGTTCAACTGCGTAAATTGGGTGGAAAGCTCATCATGGGATGGACGCTATGGACTTGTAGTATGCACAGACAGTGCGGTATGATCATCATCTTAATGCATTCTACAACTTGATTTTTGTCTAAAGCTTTCCTTATTAGATACATAGTGTGAAATGCATTGTGCTTTTGCATGAGCTTTATTAACTTGTTCAAGAGCTTCTGTTTACAGGTCTATGCAGAGGGACCTGCTCGGCCCACTGGAGGAGCTGCAGCCATTGCTATGCTTGTGGGGCCTGATGCTCCTATAGTGTTTGAAAGCAAGATCAGGGCTAGCCATATGTCCCATGCCTATGATTTTTACAAGCCCATCCTTGACAGTGAATATCCAGTAATTCCCCTTTATCCCTGTTTGTCTTGTTGATCATCAATTTCACATGAATGTTTCAAAGTAATATTTTGCTCCAAGTGTTGGGTTAAAATTGTTGTTGATTTTTTGAGGTAGTGCGTATTGAAATGGATATAACTTGATAGAATTTTTTGAAAGGTAACACTTGCTGATACCTTAAACTATATTTTTTGGTTCTTAACGGAAATTGGATGAATATTTTATCAGGAAAAAATGCGTTGCATGACAATCTGTACACTTTCAGTATCTCTTATCAATTCCTTAATTGTACCAAAATTGTGCATGCTGCATCATCACTGTTGAAGCTTCAGAATTTCTCATCTGCTCTGTATAATGTTAATTGTGTTGCAGGTGGTTGATGGTAAACTTTCACAAACCTGTTATCTCATGGCACTTGATTCTTGCTACAAGAGTTTATGCAACAAGTAAGCCGCCGATTTATGTGTCTATATATTTGGAGTTAAGACTTCTTAACTAGTATCATCTTTTAGTGACCTTTTACTTCCATGTTTTAGATATGAGAAATTGGAAGGCAAGCAATTCTCAATGACTGATGCAGCCTACTTTGTTTTCCATTCACCATACAACAAGGTAGCTTATGAGCCCCATACAGATTCATAATTTTTTTCTACTTCTCTAGATAAAGTGATTGAACAGTTGTCTGAATCTTTTCTTAATCTTGCAGCTCGTGCAGAAGAGCTTTGGTCGATTGCTGTTCAACGACTTTCTAAGGAATGCTAGGTGTGTTACAAATCTTCTGTGTTAGAGAGGAATCTTCTTATTGTTTAAAGGAATTCTTTGGACTAATCATCCCCATTTCTGCATTTGCAGCTCTGTTGATGAGTCTGCCAAACAAATTCTAGCTCCGTTTGAATCCTTAACCGGTGATGAAAGCTACCAAAGCCGTGATCTTGAGAAGGTTCACTAACAATTTCCCACTCTTTTCTTCCTTAAATATTTCTTTATTTTACAAGTGATCTCCTGCGATTGTCTTCCAGTACTTCACTCAAAATGATGAAATGAAGTCTTAAGTAGGATAAATAGCTCGAAGACTGAACTGAAAATGGATTTTTATTATGCATATTACAGGCATCCCAGCAAGTTGCTAAACCGTTTTATGACCAGAAGGTGCAACCTATCACATTGATACCAAAACAAGTTGGCAACATGTACACCGCGTCTCTCTATGCTGCTTTTGCATCCCTCATTCACAATAAGCACAACACATTGGTAAATACAAGTTACTTCTCTTCTTTCATTCCATTTGATTGTTCATGTCCATTTTCTACATTTTCTTCCAGTTTTGAATCATTTTGTTACCTCAGGCTGGTCAGAGGGCAATCATGTTCTCCTATGGGAGTGGTTTGACTGCAACAATGTTTTCACTAAAGTTTAACGAAGGTCAACATCCTTTTAGTTTGTCAAACATCGCAAGTGTGATGAATGTTGCGGAGAAGTTGGAATCGAGACATGAGGTATGCTAAATTTTGATCTACAACTCAATCGTGGATTTGGGCTCCATCATTGACTTTATTTAAGCTTGGATATCCAAGCAGCTGTTGGTGATTTTTTATTGTATTATCTCTCTTTTTTCATCATAACCCTGACTGACAATAACATCTTGTGTAGTTCACTCCTGAAAAATTCGTCGAAATAATGAAACTAATGGAGCACAGATATGGTGCCAAGAACTTTGTGACCAGCAAGGATTGCAGCCTTCTCGCCCCAGGAACCTACTACCTAACAGAGGTTGATTCCAAGTACAGAAGATTTTATGCACAGAAGGCTCCCGAACATGGACTGATCAACAGACACTAGGAGACTGAACAAGGTCCTTGCACGGTGTAAGGACATGTAGTTGGTTCGTGCTCTTTTAGTTCTTGTCAGCGCATAGAAGAATAACTAGTGCATCCGCAGATTTGATTGTTATTACATATTGTTTCTTTTCCAGAATAGATCCTATGCCTTTGTTTCTTTCCCCAACAAATTCTAATGTTCAGTGTAATCTGTCTCCACCTGTTTGTGAAATTATTGTAGATGATTGTAGAAGTCATCAAACCTAGTCTTGATTGAAATTCATTAATTTTCTCACCTGTGCCTTCATAAACTGATGTGCTTATGAGAAAGATCATAACTTCAATGGGTGATCCCAACGATTCCCACACCGTTGGTGCTCTCGCCTCTTTTTTTCTGCCGCGCATGCTAAAATTTAACGGAGTATTGTGATTGCACAAGGGCAACCTATTTTAGCAAGGGATCATTTGGTTCACATGTTATTTATGCAAGGATTATAATGTAAGAATTGTTTATGTTGTGACTAACAATGAAGTGATTGTTCTACATGAATACGTGACATTTTTGTTTTAAAGTAGTTTAATCCATGCATTTCAAATATCTATTACTACTATTATGTTATTAAGTATTAACAGCTGCGAGTCAGCCGCCATGGCTTACTTATTGGAAGTCTCAAAACGTGATTTTCAGTTCGAAAACTACTTCAAGTTGTCTCCATTAAAGCTTTCTAATTTGTGTGGGGTCGGATAACGCCCCTAATATGTCTGGACTTTTTCCTTCTTATTTGATAGTAACGTTGAAGTTCACTAAGTTGGTGAAACAAAAAAAACAAATGAAAGAACTTTTCTTCCGTTTTTTATCAAGATAAAAAACTTCAAGTAATACATGTCACGACCCGAATTTCTCACCGTTGGGTCCGTGATGGCGCCTAACATCGCACTCGCTAGGCAAGTCAATGTTAGAGAATTGTTCACCTTTTCCTTTACCTTTTAATAATTGAAATTTAACAAAAACTAAATCAGCGGAAATAAAAGCGGAAGTACATGATTAACCGATTACCCTTATACTATTAACAAAATCGAAATAGTTACCACCCAGAAATTGGTGTCACAACTCACTAACTTTCTACAATTTACTACAAATATTGGTCTGAAAGAAAGATACATCTGTCTCGAAAGTAAATAAAAGAGAGATATAGAGTATAGGAGGGGACACTAGGGCATGCGGACGCCTGCAGGACTACCTTGGGTCTCCTGAATGAGGTATCAGCAATCGACCTCTCGATCAGCCACTACCAGCTCCGAAATCTGCACAGAAAGTGCAGAGTGCAGTATCAGTACAACCGATCGCATGTACTGGTAAGTGTCGAGCCTAACCTCGACGAAGTAGTGACGAGGCTACGGAGGGGCATAAACAATATATCCTGCAATAGTTTATAATAAGGCAAAAAGAAGATACAGAATGAAACAAGACAATAACTTGCATTAAGTAATACGGAACCCAGTCGTTCTACTAATGCTCAGCTATAACCAATTCTTAAGAGAGTTTCAACACCACAATAATGAATCTCAGCAGAAGAAGAATACATAAACAACAAATGATGCGGCGCGCATCCCGATCCCACCATATAATCAATAACAATATGGACATTCACCCTTATTGCTCCTTGTTGCGGCGTGCAACCCGATCCCACCAGTCCACCCTTATTACTCCTCAATATATCACCCTTATTCCTCCTGTTGCGGCGTGCAACCCGATCCCACCTGTCCACCCTTATTACTCCTTGTTGCGGCGAGCAACCCGATCCCATCAGACAATCACATTTCACCCTTATTCCTCCTGTTGCGGCGTGCAACCCGATCCCACCATATCAGTACCAATCACAAAATAAGAACAAGTATTTCACAGTTTAGCTCAAACCCTCCACAATATTTATAGCTCAAATCATGACAAGGGGAGATCTATACAGCTATGAAACTTCAACAGTTAATACTACACAACGAGACCAACCAAAGTGTACCATGAAGCACCAATAAACCATCGTAAACCCACAATATAATATAATGAAACTACGGAATAATTAATACCTTTAATAGAGAAATAATATTTAACAAGAAGCAGTTAAACATGGAAGCATCAATAAGCAAGTAGCAGTTAAGACAGGAAAGCAATATATTAGAAAACGGGAAGGGAACATGCTAAACAGAATGGGGAAGAATTGGTCTTGGGAGAATCGCCTCTAGGGTTCTAGGATTTGAAAAATGTGAAGAATGGGAGGAAATCCCATCTAACTTATGTTTTAAACAGCTGCAGATGTTGCATTTGCGACCTGAGCTTCGCAAATGCGAAGGAGCCATCGCAAATGCGAAGCCCTTCACAGTCCTGCTGCCTTCGCAAATGCGAAGAAAGTGTCGCATTTGCGAACACTGTTCCTCACAAATGCGAGTAAATGTTCGCATTTGCGAACATGCCCTTCCCCAGACACCCTTCGCAATTGCGAAGATTTTATTTGCGAACTCTGCTGGCCCAGGCTTTTCTTCGCAATTGTGATCAATACCTCGCAATTGCCATGCCTGCTTGGTTCGCATTTGCGAAGCCTGACCTCGCAATTGCGAGATCAGAGGCCTGCTACAGACACCAGTTACACCAGCAAATTTTTAAGTTCCAAAATCACTCTATAGCATATCCGAAACTCACCCGAGTCCTCGGGGCTCCAAACCAAACATGCACACAAGTCTTAAAACATCATACGAACTTGCTCGCTCGATCAAATCACCAAAATAACACCTAGAACTATGAATTCAACACCAAAACACATGAAATTTTCAAGATAGTTTCAAAACTTCTACTTTCTCAACCAAAGGTCCGAATCACGTCAAATAAACTCCGTTTTTCACCAAATTTCACAAACATGATTTAAATATCATATTAAACCTGTACCGGGTTCCGGAACCAAAATATGGGCCTGATACTAACGAGATCAAACATTTACTAATTTCTCAAAACCTTTGGAATTTCAGTTTAACAATTTTTATCAGAAATTCATTTCTCGAGCTAGGGACCTCGGAATTTGATTCCGGGCATACGCCCAGGTCCCATATTTTACTACGGACCCTCCAGGCCGTCAAAACACGGGTCTGGGTCCGTTTACTCAAAATATTGATCAAAGTCAACTAAAATCAACTTTTAAAGGCAAAAATTATTATTTTCTCAAATTTCCACATAAAGGCTTTCCGGAATCGCGCCCAGACTGCGCACGCAAATCGAGGAGAGATAAAATAAGGTTTTTAAGGCCTCGGAACACATATACGACTTCTAAAATAGAAGATAACTTTTTGGGTCATCACATTCTCCACCTCTAAAACAACCGTTCGTCTTTGAACAGGTATAGAAAAATACCCGAGTCGGTGAAAAGATAGGGATATCTGCTCCGCATATTGGACTTGGACTCCCAGGTAGCTGCCTCAACAGGCTGACCTCTCCACTGCACACGAACCGAAGGATAACTCTTCGATCTCAACTGACGAAACTACTGGTCTAGAATAGCCACCGGCTCCTCCTCGTAGGTCAAATCCTTGTCCAATTGGACAGTGCTGAAATCTAACACGTGGGATGGATCGTCGTGATACTTCCGAAGCATGGACACATGAAACACTGGATGCACTGCTGATAAACCTGGCGGCAACGCAAGTCTGTAAGCCACATCTCCCACTCGATCAAGGATCTCAAAAGGTCCGATGAACCTAGGGCTTAGCTTGCCCTTCTTCCCAAATCTCATCACGCCCTTCATGGGCGACACTCGAAGCAACACTCTCTTTCTGACCATAAATGCCACATCACGAACCTTACGGTCAGCATAACTCTTTTGCCTGGACTGAGCTGTACGAAGTCTATCCTAAATGATCTTAAACTTATCCAAGGCATCCTGTACTAGATCTGTACCCAGCAACCGAGCCTCCCCCGGCTCAAACCACCCAACTGGCGATCGACACCGTCTACCATACAACGCCTCATAGGGAGCCATTTGGATGCTTGACTGATAACTTTTGTTGTAGGCAAACTCCACTAACGACAAGAAATGATCCAAAGAACCCCCAAAGTCAATAACACAAGCGTGGAACATATCCTCCAAGATCTGAATAGTACGCTCAGACTGTCCGTCCGTTTGAAGATGAAATGGTGTGCTCAACTCGACCCGCGTACCCAACTCACGTTGTACTGCCCTCCAAAAATGCGAGGTAAACTGCGTACCTCGATCAGAAATGATAGACACGGGCACACCATGAAGACGAACGATCTCACATATATAGATCTCTATCAACCGCTCCGAAGAATATGAAACTACCACAAGAATGAAATACGCTGACTTAGTCAGCCTATCCACAATAACCCATACTGCATTGAACTTCCTCTCCAATGACGAAATCCATAGTGATACGCTCCCACTTCCACTCAGGAATCTCAATCTTTTGAAGCAAACCACCAGGTCTCATGCTCGTTCTTTACGTGCTGACAATTCAAACACCGAGCTACATATGCAACAATATCCTTCTTCATCCTTCTCCATCAATAATGCTACCGCAAGTCCTGATACATCTTGGCGGCGCGGGGATGAATAGAATACCGGGAACTATGGACCTCCTCTAGAATCAACTCACGAAGTCCATCCACATTAGGCACGCAAACACGACCCTGCTTCCTCAAAACTCCATCATCTCCAACTGTAACCTGCTTGGCATCTCCGTGCCGCACTGTGTCCCTAAGGACAAGCAAATGAGGGTTATCATACTACCGATCTCTGATACGCTCGAATAATGAAGATCGAGCGACTGTACAAGCTAGAACACGGCTGGGCTCAGAAATATCCAACCTCACGAACCGATTGGCCAAAGCCTGAACATCCAAAGCAAGCGGTCTCTCACCGACTGAAATATATGCAAGGCTACCCATACTAGCCGACTTCCTACTCAAGGCATCGTCCACCATATTGGCCTTCCCGGGATGATACAAGATGGTGATATCATAGTCTTTCAATAGCTCCAACCACCTTCTCTGCCTCAAATTGAGCTCCTTCTGCTTGAACAAATACTGTAAACTCTTATGATCCGTGAACACCTCACACGACACGCCATATAGATGATGCCTCCAAATCTTCAGCGCGTGAACAATGGTTTCTAGCTCCAAGTCATGAACTGGATAATTTTTCTCGTGAATTTTCAACTGCCGCGGGGCATATGCAATAACCTTGCCATTCTGCGTCAACACCGCACCAAGTCCAATACAAGATGCATCACAAT